TGAAGCACATTAAAATGAAATATTTTTAGAAGGTAATATCAGAGATAAATTCTACAACCTAATAGTCAAGCTTTTTATAAAGAGCATATCATGAATATGTGCACGTGTATGTGCTTTAAAAATCTTCTCTAAACTATATTGAATTTTTGTGCTTAAACATGATTTATTTTTCATAAAGCACAAATTATTTGTCTTTCAACATTTTCTTACCACTCTGGAGTGTATTTCTTTGGCATACAATGGGAATAAAAATTCTGATTCCCCTTCCAAGCGCAGTCCATCTTTTGTTACATGCAAGTGGCCCATTCCTGCCTGTTAAAAAAGAAGAGAGACAACGCATATTTTTTTATTGCTTGCTTTTTCATTCCTCTTGCTACTGACTTAAATCACACATGTATTTCCATATATTGCCTACCACCTTTTCTGTATTTCTCCTAAATACTGTATTTAAAACTTCACATCTTTTCATTCAATATTCAATACTATCAACTCTTGTATAAATACAAAGAGCTGTTTAGAAAACACATATAAAATTTTAAGAGTCATTTTATAATAAACATTCAAGAGCTCATCGCTATGCAAGAAAAAGAATCTTACTATTACTATTTTTTTTAATTTAAATTAAGTTACAATAAAATTAACTGTTTTCAGGTGTACAGGTCTATGAGTTTTAACACATATATAGATTTGTGTAATCATCAACACAATCAGAATATAGTATAGTTCCATCACCTGCCCGAAAATACCATAAGTACCATCATCTGAGTTCGCTATGTAGTAGATATTTACTGAGCACTTCTTAAGTGAAAAGCAAAACAGGAGGATGTAGAGGTCTGTTCAAGATGCCTGCTCTCAAGGAGTTTACAGTCATGAAGGGTTACCAGATTGGGTGGCAGACATGATTCTGGAGGTCACCAATGACCGCTGTGCTGTTAAAACTTGTGGGCATTTCCAACTTCATGCCCTTTGCATTCTCAGGGGCATTTGGCACTGGACCCTTTCCTCCTTGAAACACTATCCTCCTTTGGTTTCCATGATGCTGTGCTTGTCTGGGCTCCTCCCACCTCCAGAACCACATCCTCCATCTCCTAACAGGCTCGTCCTCCCTACCCAGCCCTTGACTACTGGCTCCCTCAAGTTCGGTCTTAGGCCCTTTCCTGCGTTCATGCTATGAATTGGCTTCCATTTACTATTTCAGTGTGGAGGCTTATCCGTTTTTTTCCAAATTTTAAAAATTGTAGTAAAATGTCATATACATTTTACCATCTTAACCACTTAGAAGAGTACAGATCCATGCTATTAAGTATATTCATGATGTTGTGTGACCATCACCACCAACCATCTCCAGAACTGCTTTCATCTTGCACAATTAAACACTGTACCCGTTAAACAATTAACTCCCCCTTCTCCCCTCCACCCAACCCCCGGCAACCACCATTCTACCTTCTTGTTTTAAAGTTTTAATACGTAATTGAGGCATTGTACTTGTACACATTTTGGGGTACAATTTGAAATATATGTATACAGCGATAAGGTCAAATCTTATAGCATTTCTGTCTCTATGAATTTGATTATTTTAAGTACCTCATGTAAGTGGAATCATATCGTATTATCTTTTTGTGGCTGGCTTATTTCACTTAGCATAATGTCCTCTAGGATCATTCATGTTATAGCATATTATGACATTTCTGTTTTTTTAAGGTTGAAAAATATTCTACTGTGTGTACAAGCCATATTTTGCTCATCCACTCATCCACTGATGGATTCTTGGGTTGCTTCCATATTTTAGCCATTGTAAATAATGCTATGAACATGGGTGTGCAAATATCTCTTTGATTCCCTGTTTTCAATTCTTTCAGTATATAGCCAAAAGCAGAATTGATCGATCATATGGGAATTCTATTGTTAATTTTTTGAGAACTGCCATACTGTTTCCCGTGGTAGCTATTCAATTTTATATTCTAACAGTGCATAAGAATTCCAGTTTCTCCACATCCTCCCTAACACTTGGTATTTTGTGTTTGATGGTAGCCATCCACATGGAAGAATCCGTTTTTACCTGTAAATAGTCTGTTCTGAGCTTCATACCCATGTATCTGATTGCCTACCTGTCGTCCCCCTTCTGACTGTCTTAAAAGCATCTGAATTCAACCAGCTGAGCTTTGATCTTTCCGCTCTTCCCCAAATAGAAAGCATTATTTAAAAAAGGAAAGCAGGACAGTCCAAAGGATGAAACAAAGCAATAAGGGACATTTTATGTTGTGACAGGTGAATTTCTAGGATAGAGATATGTTACCCTGACCTGAATCTTACCTGCCAGGCAATAGACTTCTACTTTCAAAGACATTATCAGTTGAAAGCTCCATTAACAAGAACCAAATTAAATGTGTGGTTATGCCATGTGGTTCAATCCATAAACTACAATTCGAACTGACATTTGGGAGTGGTGGCATTAGCAGTGTGCATGTGGAAGCCCCACACACTGCTGGGTGCAGCTACCTCCCACACTAGGTAGATGAGCACTTCTGAGCTGTTTTTTTTTTTCTTTATGGAATCTCACTCTGTCTCCCAGGCTGGAGTGCAGTAGTGCAGTCTTGGCTCACTGCAACCT